TCACACGTCTTTGATACAAGGACTTCATTCACCAAATTCTACCTGTGAGACTGTGTGGTTAACAGAAGAGTTTTTCAATTTTTAAGAGCCCTTTTGACTTTGAAGAATGACTTTTAAGAGTCATTCCTACCGATTCAAAAAAAAGCAATTTTTGGTTTTATAGAAAACGATCAAATGTAAATGACCAAAAGCAATTTTTGGTTTTATAGAAAACTTTCAAATGTAAAATTACTACAACCTAAGAAGATCGGAAGGCTACTTGACAACAAAAACCTAAAACTTTCCAAAAGCCAATAAATATTTTGAACTCCGATTCGATAAACGCCTTCATGGGGACCTTTCAAAACACACAATCGTAATCTATTGTCCAACTTCTAGCGACTCCAGAATGATGCAAGCAGTGTCCTTTTTTTTTTGATATAGCCAACCATGTTACAATACATTTGTCTTATATTTCCAATTTGTAACACACTTTAAAAACTGCGTGAGCGGAGGACTATATGTTACAAAAAATATTACAATTCTTATTACAATGCCATTTCTGTGAAATATCTACAAACCAAAAAAAACGAATTCGCTTTGTCAAATTGCATTTCTGTTTATTCTCCGTTATCTTATATTGCCGTTGCCGAGAACGGCCAACCAAGTCTCTCTACACGTTGTAATCATGAAAAATGCTACCAAGAGTATTCATTCATCTAAACTCTAGACCAAAATCAATTGAATCGTTTGAACTTACGTGTTTTTCATTGTTATTCCAGAAGTAAAAAGCGCCAACGGCTCCCAGGAGGAGCAGCAGAGCTCCGGCGACGAGAACCGCGATGCCAGCCTTCAAAAGGCGCCCAGTCGCGGTAGGTTTGACCGCGACAGCAGAATAAGCCTAAGAGATTGAGTCACAGGAGCACATTTACATTATTCTGAAAATACATACGTTTACTAACACTTTAAAGAATAAAGAATCTCAAGTGGTACCAAAGAACATTTAGGTAAGTGACAGTGACATGGTTGAAAGTCCATGCAGTGTTTGTGAGCTGATTGTACAACACAAAACTTACTGGAGGCATGAAGCTCTGCAGGTCTTCTGGTCCTGCTGAGGGAAGCGGAACTTTCTCTGAGCACCCGGCCATGACTGGATTGAATCCCCTGAAAAACTTCTACTAACACCAAAAGCTTTCTCTCTTTCTCCCCCCTCTCTCACTCACTCTCTCTCTCTCTCTCTCTCTCTCTCCCACTCACTCTTTCGCTGTCTCTGTCTTTCTCTCTCACTCACTCACTCACCATTCCAAGCAAGTGTCCACACTTCAATGGAACCCATGTATAAAAAAAAAAACCCAAGCTTAGCATTTCTATTTGCTTAAAGGCAAAATTTTAGTCATGACATTTGTAAACGTTTCCCTGCAAATTTCCACAAGCATTTTCAGCCTATTGTACAATGTGACAATATCCCAGGGGTGTCAAACATATGCCGCGTTGGCCAAAACTGGCCTGCTTGATGAATTTTGAAAGCAAAAAAATTTTTTACCCTTAAAAGTGTCCGGCTAAACCTCTAACAAATGTAAAACCCTGTCTTTGTTGATTATTATTGTCGCACAATGAAAGGGCTTACGTTTCTTTTGTCTACACGTTGCAGTCCAAATGTTTATATATTCAATCCTTCGTTTGTTTTCTTTTTGAATACAGGGCTGCTCGTGTTCAATGCCAGTGCTGCTGAAGAATAAATTCAAAGACAGACCCCGTGAAAGAAAACGATTTGCTGTATCTAGTAACCAATGTGAACTCTGCAAACACCCAATGCACCTCCTCTCCCCTTTCCCCCATTTTCTCTCTATCCCCCAGCACTCTGAACTCACGCTTCAGGTCAGAGGTTATGACCGTGGAATCTTGCACATTTCTGTCAATCCTTATTTAGAAGTGCTGCTTTTTTGGGGGGGTGTTGTTCTTTTACTATTTTGTCTTACTTTTAGTCTATTTATGTATACAAAACAATCAAGGTGTACATTGTTACAAAAGCACATTGAAGCAACGTAAAAAGACAAAATTAGTGTGTAATGGTACAGCATTATATAATACAAAAACAAGTGTTTAAGTAAATACAAAGTAAAAATATGGATGTATGAGGAGTAAAAGGTATATTAAGCTGTAGAAAAATAAGTTGCAAGAATAACAAACACAAACAGTGGTCAGTCACTTGTCAGATATGAGGGAAAAACCTTTT